CTACTTTATGCATTTTTTCAGTTTTCGGTATGATCACCAAGAACAAATTACTCAATTATATGTTCTATATATTATAAAATCGCTTCTTCTTTAAGAAGAACTTCTGCTTTTAAGTGGTTGTTTTTGCATAACTAAGAAAACACTTATGTGCATCATAATGTCAAATACTTCTCGAGTAACAAAAACCCGTTCAGTTTCTGCAAAATCCTAAAATAGTTTGTCAAAGGGTTATAAATGATGATTACTGCCAACTACAATGTTGGGAAAACATTCAACGTCAGTCGTCTAGAATTAGCTGTGATAGTTAATGACAAACTGCAAGTGTGCTCAATCAAGTATCTTGAGGCCTTTTAAAACGGATGGCTTTCCCTGAGAATTATTAGTATACTTGCCTCGAAATGCTGAAAGTACAGTAATAACCTTAAGATCTGCGTTGTTTCTATCCATCTAATCGCTAGCATATTAAATAGAACGAGACGTAGAATCCTAATGAGTTTTGAAAATGAATAATTGTTCTTGTTCTCGTAGTATGATTAGCTCCTAATCACCTTTACATTGTCTACATTAATCTGCAGATATTTTATCATCTGTTACTTATATTGACTTGGCACTTTTGATCCATTTCTGGTTAAGCAGAGTTTAATAGGTTCCGTTAGAATTGTCAAGTATTCGACACTATCCATGAAAATTAAATTTGTAGTACTTCACTGATTTAACAGTTTTGAGTTTAAACGTCGGATAATATTTCAGGCAACATATAGGACTGAAGCAAATAGCACACAGCTGCTAACAAATACAACAGTAGCAAAATAAAGATTTAGCTAACTTTCTCAAAACTAGATGAAGGTTTTACAATTTTACAGCGTTTTGAAACAAAGCAGTCATAGCAATAAATAGTCGAAACGGAGTAAATGAAAATAGTATGAATTCCTTCTATGGGAGATGAGAATATATTTCAGCTCGTGACAAAGGGGAAGGTGAACCTGCTCATCAAACACATGACAAGATTCAGCAGTCGGTCTTCGCCAGACGTCTCAACATCTCTCTCGCTGCTAAAAGACGGACACTATTTTACATTACCACACCAATTGAATCAACGAAAAATGACTACTGAGAAGTCACCAACCCACAAGAATTCGCAGAAAGAGGTACTTTTAAGGTAGAGAGATTTTGATTTAAGTCTGAGTTAACTGCTTCGATTGAGTAGCAAAATGGCAAACGTACTGCCACGTTGATAGCAAATGAAGGAAGCACAACAGTGATTCGAAAGAACTAGAAATTTGCTGCTACCTGCGTAGAACCACTTAGGAAATACCGTTGACGACTAGATGATAATCCAATAAATTAGCTGATAAAATTCGTGAACAAAGCGATTACGGTAGATGGAGAAAAATAATGGACACGGTCTTTGCAAAGAGTCAGCTGTTGAAGTTTTGCTGTGAGTGCAAATGATCCATTCCTGATCTTCGCTGTGGACCAAAAATACGTATAAGTTTAATGTTCGCACAGGACCTATTCTTGCATCATCAACATGTATCTCGGCTGCATTTGCACAAGTGCTTTGACAAACTATTTAGTCATACCCAGATATCAGGAAATCACATGTTAAGACAAACTAAGCGGTTGCTGAAGAGATTATTTCCTGGAAGAATAACAGTGAATAGATCATGGTCACCTACAATCTTAAATATTTTTTTTAAATTAAGATTCCTGTGGAGTTTGCAATAGGCTGTGTCGAAGAACAGCTTATCTAAGACTCTGTTCTGTCGAATGAAACAACTTTCTCAATATGTTTCATCGTAAACAACTCTAGGTATGTCATATTGGACTCATTTTTTTAATTCGACGGTCAGCTATGTCGCCAATAAAACGTAATACTAATCAGAGAGCACATGGTTTATTTACTCATGAAACATTTGGACAGATGATTTTCACGATAGGAAACAAAAAAATATGTCTTGTTCAATCATTTTCAGAATGTACATAAAATATTTGCCCTCTTTAAGATTGGGGGAAGGGGGAGCGAAACTCCGTTTTTAGAGCATCTAAAGAATGCTTTTCCAGGTGTCAGATGGTTTATTATATGGTAGGGGGAGAATGACAGTTAACCGTTCCTGGAATAACTAGTGAAACACCTGCAGCAGGAATATTCAACAACAATGTATCACAAGAAGGTACGTCCGGATCGACAACTTCATTATTTTTTTTAGCTATCCAGAAAAAGAAACAGTTTCCCCGTGGAAATACTCGAAGAACGACAGGCAGACTTACGAAGGCAATTAACTCCTCGCTGTTCACCAGCCGACAGGACCTATATCACCTTACCAGATGTTCGTAGGACCAGCTGAAAATTACAACGCATTGCGTGTAAACATGGTTTGAACACTGTATCCGAACCCGGGTGAACATTTTGCAGTCGCCTGAGCCTCCTGGAGACCAAAAAAACAGAGAAATGAAAGCAAGGTTGGATGTACAACCTGTGTGCTACAGGGTATATCGTCGAAACGGGCAATTGCTTTGAGGAAAGGAAGATCGGTCACAAGAGAAATCTCGTCAAAGTCAAGAAAATGCTGAAGTTGTACGAACAACGGAAACACTGGATGGAGCAAACAAAACACTCCAAGATTATCAGAGCGGCATGGGAAACAATTCCGCTACAAGACACTGCGCTATTGTCCATCCGTACACTTTATCATGTGAAATGACAGGCGTCGCATTGGCAAAGCAGTCTTAATCATAATGTCAAGGAAGCGTCTGTGATACACTCAGTCAGCTGCTTTAATGACAACGTTCCGTGAACATCAGCGGAAGAAGGACCGAAAACATTAAACATTTGCTTTCAATGTTTGACCCCGCAGCAGGAGCAGTCAGACGGGTCAGTTCGACTCAAATCATATTGATTCCGTGCGATATTCATTTTACCTCAGATGATGGATCGAGTTTGGCCCAATGCGTCAGTCACTTGTTTAAAATTACTGTATAGAATGTATGAACTGTTTCGCCGTTCATGCCATTCCTAAACGAACATACGGCAATTAACATAAGATGAAATCGCGACGACAAAGTAAAGAGAAAGTTGAAGCAGAAGGCGATAAGCCAGATGACGCGAATAAACTACAGAAAGGAAACAAAAGAAGAAGAAGATTTCTCATAGCACTGGTTAAAACTCGAACCGACGATGAGTTAGATTAAAAGAAATGGTCAGATTATGAAGCTTACGCTGCACATATCTCACCCGAAGAGATGAAGTTTTTGGACATTCCTTTGTTAAAAAAATGCAGTTATTCCACATTAAGTAAATTTTCCCTCATGCTCTGCAAAATCTAGAATGTCGACTCTTTTACTGTTCAAGGTACGTTTTTATTGACACTATAGTGCAAAATTCTCGGATGATTTGCCTAGTGACATCTGCGTACCGCCGTATGTACTTGAGAGCAATCTGCAATACTCTCCGATATATATTTTTATAAGGTAAAGTTTAATTACCAGAGAGGTATCGAAATTGAGGCTGTTGAAAATAGCAAATTCCAAATTTCTGAAGTAAAAGCCATCGATTATTGCCGTCTGTTGAAATTCAGTTTTGAAATAAAATGGACTAAACTCTTTTCGGTGTGTATTTGCCGGTTCTTATAAACTGCGTCTGATGGCAAATGCAGTTATTAGTGTTAAGTAACTTAATGTGTATCAATTGAAAAGGTTTCTGGAGTTTTCTACATGACAATAAAATCCGTGGTGGAGCTACATAAAAGCCATACTGTTGCACTGACCCCGTTATACAGGAATTGGTTTACAAAAAGCTATGATAAACGGTATATTAGCGTTTGTAAAATGTTGTACTTGATGCATGACAGACAGAGTTTGAACACTGTTCGATGTTCAAATGTATTGTGTTGATTGTCGTGACACTACCTCTGAATTTAGGCAAATTTACAACCGACTAACATCGAATTGAAGCTACATCTGGATGCGGAGGTTCGTGGCGACAAAACCGAACGCGGCCTGAGCAACCCTTCGTCGTACTTGAACCCGTGCCGCAGTAGCAACTCGTCCGGCCACTTGATGTGCAATTTTTGTGGTGTAGCGTATAAGTACAATAGTCATTTGCAACGTCATATCGACTCGAAACATCTAAAAGTCTTGCCATTCAAATGCTGGCAATGTAGGTACATAGCCTGGAATACATCGACGTTAGAAGAGCATATTCGCAGTCACGAAAGGCAGAAGCCGCCAAAATGCAAGTGCTGTGGAAAAATATTTGGAGCGACGAGACAAGTGAAACTGCATGAAAGAGTTCACTTGACCAAGGAACACCATGTATGCCATCATTGTGAGGCTAAATTTACGCACAAGCGA